ATCCCCCACCTGCATGAGATCCGTCTGCCCATGAAACCCATCCCCCGGCAGCACCGGGGCGTGCATCTATAGCATTGTGCCCAGGGAGCTATTGAGCAGCGTTTGATGCCCAATGAAAGACATTGATGGTTGTGCTATGCCAACGTAACGCAAGTCTAAAGATGTCTAGATGTCGATCACGTGAGGTGTAATAAAACAACATATTAATGAGAATCCGAACAGACTTCATGTGCAAACACTCTTTCACTCGAAGCAGGCACTCTTCTAAGACGTCCACGCGAGAGACTCTGAGCCTTTAGTCCCAAGGTGACCGCATAAGCAGCCGCCTGGCTTCCCAGCCTGGTGTCTGATGGGCTCGGCTCGGGGGGCGGGGGTGGGGCACCGCTGACCTCATGTAGGCTCGGTCCCAGGTCCGGGTGGGCAGCAGCACATCCCGCATCTCATCACCGCAAGCGTCTCCGGAAAGTGACGTGGTAACAAATACGCCAGCGGATCTCATGCACGCGGTCAATGTGCGTCTGTGTGGCTTGGAACTTAGGGCCACAAGCTGTCGTGTTGCTGTCCAGAGTTTGGAGCTCTTGGCCACAGGCTGTTGTGTTTCTGTCCAGAGCTTCTTACGGGGATCTAAGGAGAATAGATGTTCGCCAGTGATTTCTTCTTGCGCGGCAAAGGAAATTTATTTGATGTTTTAACACCAAATTACACTATGCGTGGTGAGAAGTGCGCAGCAAGACATAACTGGCTCACAGCACGAGATTCAGCGCCGTCTCGGACGATCAACATCACGTCTGCTTGCATTTCAGGGAGACCATGTCACGCTATTATTGTTCGTTCAAGTGCATGCATGCATTTGGGGATGGTTGGGAGCTATATAGATGGTAGTGTCCTCTATACCACGCCGGCCAGACGCTTGAATGGTGTAGATGACACTACCATCGTGGAGTCTGCCTGTGCTGAGATGTGTGTGCGTGTCATTCGAGCTATACGATGCATTCAGCTCCCGAGGTTGTATGGCGTCGCCGGCCTATCACCGCGGTGGGAATGTTAGACTCCCTGGGGCATCTAGCATACTGAGATGAGAGGCAAGCTATATCACAGCGTGATTGTCACTTAAGAGGACGCGGCAAATATCTCAACCGAGGGCGCGCTGAGTTACCCTACAGACGGGGAGGCTGGATCGGGGGAAGCCTGCGAGAGATGAGTGGGCGGGGTGGACGGGCTGAGGGACGCTTTATGGCTGGAAGGGGGTGCTAGTCTGTGAATGAGGCGGAATGTGGCAATTAGACGCTATAATGTCAGCTGGCAGCAAAAGAGCTGCAATAGAGAAAGACAAGGTGAGTCACCCAGGCATGATATGAAAGCACAAAATATAACGTAGTGAGTTGTTAGGTATCTTCCCAGGTCTTCAGGATGCAGATGGTAGGAATAAGGTATTGGAGCTATTAAGTTTGTAGAAACCGCATTGCTAAAATGGAGTTAAAAGTTGTAATGGTGTCTTTTTCCATATTTTAGCTTATTTCAAATATGTCATTGATAAATCAACGCGGGCTCGATTTCCGCGTTGGCGAAAAGCAGAAAACTATCCGACACCCCACCCCATTTTTCCTCACCAGATGTTGGACATTTTATTTGAAATTTGGGCGAAAGGATGACTTAAGTTATTGAACTATCTAGTATCGACGTTAACGCGTGACCTGGTGCGAGACTCAAATATCAAACATCCATATATATATATATATATATATATATATATATATATATATATATATATATATATCATTTTGCATGTAACTCTTTGTGTCGTACAATGCTGATCTTCCTATGCATATTTTGACCACATTTGGCTATATATTTAGGACGATAGTGGAAAGCATGTGCTATCAACATATTGTAATGTAAATAAATCCTCAGACCCGTGCCGTTCGCTTTCACGATCACGAAAGCCAGCGCCGAATATGAGAGTGCTGGAAATGACGGAAGTTTTTAAGTGCCAACATTCATTTTATATCAAGACTGATCATGAGCGGATGGTCGTTGAATTCAGGTCCATTATTTACCACAGGTGGAGGTAACTCATTCAGTAACGCGGCGCTATAACTGCAATGACCCCGCCACATGTTTTCGCTTCTCACCGTCACGTTTACTTCGAGTGTCCTGCTGACTGCTGTTGTGGCCCGTTTTTGTCTGAATAACAAGGGCCGTTGAAATATTACGAGAAGATGGGGATGCGATTGCATCAACACTTCTAACCCTTCCAGCTCTCTGCAACGTCCGGTCGTGATGGTTAACCAGCTCAGATTACGCATCCACTCATTAACTGGTCCATGACTGGCAGCCGATTATGAGCAAAGTCACATCAATGTACATGTGTTCTTTGCATCGTTGTACATCAAGCTGTACCGGTATTACGCTAGCCGTCACGCTATCGTGTCATACATTAAGCCATACCGCTATTATGCTAGCCGTCACGCTATCGTGTCATACATTAAGCCGTACCGGTATTACGCTAGCCGTTACGCTATCGTGTCGTACATTAAGCCGCACCGGTATTACGCTAGCCGTCACGCTATCGTGTCGTACATTAAACCGTACCGTTATTACGGTAGACGTCACACTATAGTGTCGTACATTAAGCCGCACCGCTATTATGCTAGCCGCCACGCTATCGTGTCGTACATCAAGCCGTACCGCTATTACGCTAGCCATCACGCCATCGTGTCGCACATTAAGCCGTACCGGTATTACGCTAGCCGTCACGCTATCGTGTCGTACATTAAGCCGTGCCGGTATTACGCTAGCCGTCACGCTATGGTGTCCTACATTAAACCGTACCGCTATTACGCTGGCCGTCACGTTATCGTGGCATCAATTTAATGGAGGGAGCGAGCAAGCAACTATAACACTGAATTGATGCAGGTAAATATTATAATATCAGAATTCGAGAGGCGGATGTGAGTGGACGGGCAGGGCAGACGCCGGCATCATCTTCTTTATCACCATCTATTCCTTTGACCTGGGCTGGAAATGACAGCACAGGAAAAAAACTGTGATACAGTGCATCTTGTCATTGCTTTCAAAAACATTAACTGTTGAATAAGCAAGGAAATGAGACTATAAGAAATATCTGGGTAGGGGTAGCGTGTAAATAAACTAAATTTGCCATTTATGTGCACGTAGCTAGCCGAAGATATAAAAAAAACGCTGTCGAAATAGGTCAATCCGCTGAGGTGATAAGCTATTTTTTGTGTCGTGCAGATCATTATGCGTTGCACACACGTATCGTAGGAAAGAAAATCTGGATAACTAATTAATCCACACATAAATTTACTTGGTAAATGGTCACTTAGGTCACCAATTCTGGATAAACACAGCATTGCGAATGATGGATACTGGGTGTTCCGAACGCAAATAACTTTAACCATAGATGCTTTACTCATTGATTGAAGACGGTCAGATTTTCACGCAGTGTGTTCAATGCTCTGTGTATTTGCCCTACCAAATTCTATAGCGATAACACACATTACGTTGCTTTAGAACTGTCTTCTTACATGCCCAAAATGTTTGCCCCGACGGCTCAAGGACACGTGAGTCCACTTAGTGAAATTTGTCACGCGCTGAGCGAGAGGCGTCTCTGCAATCTTACATTCTATTGGTGCTTTAATACCTAGCGGTTATCAGCCGCCATCACCGGCATGTTCCTACAGGTACCCCCACGCAAGGAATTCGAGGGGTGGCAGGTCGTGGGAATGAACCGGCCGCTCCACGTCGAGTCGGTGCCTGGTGGCTTTATCTCCGAAGCGATTCTCGAACCACTCTCATGATTGGGAAGAACGACGGAGTGTGGTCACGCTCCAAGGAAACTGCTAACCGGCACGCCTGCGCGCGAGTGCTCTTCCCAGATGCTCCCAGAACCTGGGGCAGCTAGAGCCTTGGCAAGGGTTGAGGCACAGAGTTGACAGAGGGCCTCTGACGGTGAATGGTCCCCCCGAAGAGAATAAATTGCATGATATTACCTATTTCATTTCGATGGGGTACAATTGTCTTCATTCTATTCATACTTTTACATCATTTAGACTTTCAGAAACATATTTTCACGACGGTTCTTCTCACGCCCAGCGGCACCGCCTGACGCTATCTGCAGCGGCCAGCGCCGTTCAGTTTTACGGAGTCTGCAAACTCTGCCATCGCTGTCCTCGCTTCTAAGGCTGCTTGTGCGCAGGCCCAAAACTGTTTTATGCGATTTATTTCAATGATCACTGCTGCAAAAGTATGGACGTTCTAAGGCACAAATGGGCTCGCGTGTTTCGTCACTTTTGATCTCGTTTCGATACACTCCATTGGGGGCACGTTACCTTCTCCGGTCAAGAACTGAAAGGCCGTCTCCAGAGCCGTGCGCCAGCCGCCTGCCATTCCGGCGAAATTGGGGCGGGTTTCTCCATGTGGCAACCTGGAACCTGAGTCCGCTTCTGTGACCGAGGACCGCCCGCGGCAACCGGCTGGGCCGGCCGGGCCGGGCGGAGGCACGGGAAAGGCGGTAAGGAGGACATGCGGAGTACCTGCATCGGGCGGACTCGCCGTGAAATCTGCCACTCCAGTCGGTCTGGACGTTTTTGTCATGTGATGACTGCAATCCGAACTCATGACGTCCTTCTCGGGGCTTAGTAACACCTGAGCACGCCCGGAGAACTGACCGGCCAAAAGTTTGTGCACGCAGCACTCACCAATCGAGGGCGATTTTGGCCTCGAAGCCCATACACGACCTTGGTCGGAACAATCAGTGTAACCATTTACTGGCTGTCCATGCCGGCTGACCTTTCTCACCTTGCTTGGCCTGACGTGGGCCTGACATAACGATCGCGTCCAGTGACCAGAGGGAACCGGATGCGACTGACGTCAAATTAATAAAGAACACAAGTCACCGATACTATACTACCGTATTTGGAGCCGCGCCGTGTTATGTCACCAGCGCGTCGTAAGTGCAGAAAGCCGCTGTGCGGGAAGTCGGCAAGCCGGGGTGACGCTTATCGAGGGCCTATGATAACCAAGGCCCTAGAACAAATATGATAACGTTCTTATATGACTTCAAGGCCCTGTAACCAGAAACGACTCTGGGGTATTCAGACAGCCTTGTACGACAGACGGGGGATTGTGCGCGGGTGAGTGCCGGTCGCGCACGACGTTACCGTGCCATTTCACTTTTTGGTTGCCTTGAAAAAAACATCAAATTACGTTAAAGCACAACTAAGAGCGCACGCGTACAGCATATAAAACTAGAATGCTGGTAATGAATGCTGCGTGTGTCATTTGGGTTTTATGGTGCACTCAGCTGCTGAGGCTATATGGTGTTGCCTGCCTCTCGCCCTGGCAGGAAGGGTGGGTACTGCAGGGAATCAAACCCCATACCCCTGGTTTCCCAGACATGTAGTGGTTAACACAGACATGTGAACTACTACACTACCAGCATGCTAATGGACTCTGCAAAAGCACGAACTGCATGAAATTTGAGGCACAGTAGAAAATTCCGCCCAAATTTCAGCACATGTCCTGTGCAGATCAATGTGTGGAGTGTAAGTGCATGCTTCGTGCCACTCATTTCTGTGCATGTAGGGCCAATATTGAAGGGAATCAGAATATTACTGTGCAAATTTGAAGCAAAGATGCACACATATTCCTCAAAATATCATTGTATGTGAAGATTTATGGAAAATTTGGCATAAAGTAGTTGGGGAAGCATGCTTTGGGACAGATTTGCACAGCATGTCCAGGCCAGTTTGAAAAAAAATTGTTCCCTGGTTGGATGCCAGCAATGTAGGAGGGCTGAGCCACATGCTTGTGTGCTCCATCCAGGCCCAATTGTGCTTATTTTTTTGTTGATTGAATGCTGCTTCCATAATACCTTTTTACTTGAAATTACTAATGAAACATTACAACTTCCTAAAACATTAATTCTATGCAGTGTGCACTCAGATTGGTACTTATTGTGAACCAATCTCTGAGTACTTGAGTTTGCAACGCATGCATGCTGAAGTTGTTGCTGTGATGTTGATGTTGCTATGGCTCAGCATAAGATGCGTTTTTTGCCATCCAGCATCCAGATCACTGAAGTGATTAGTGCATTGGACGAATTCTCTTGTAGGCTGGATGATCATACTAGACAGGCAGCACTAGACAGGTGAATTCAGTCATCCTGCAGCCATGCATTAGTGACGGTGTGCACCAAGTACTTCTGCTCACTGTGCACCACAAAAGAATGTTTTCATCTGTGGTTTAGCAAGATATTCACCCTCTCCCATTTCATCACAAAGAAACTTTCCCATCTTGCCCTTTGCATCTGCACTCTGTCTCTGACAAACATTTGTAACACTTAAAGTATCTTAATAACTTGACAGTAAGTTGCCTAGCTGAACAAATACTTTGCTGTTTGCACCTTGTAAATGGTTTACTTGGCAGTCAGATGACATTTTTGATGCAAATTAGTTTTTGCACAAGAATTGCTGTCAATAAGGATTGCAATTTGAATTGGCTAATCACCACAGCATGTGCTGTGGGAGGGGGAGGAAGAGGGAGTGGGAGAGGAAAAGGAAAAGGAAAAGGAAGAGGAAGAGGGAGAGAGAGAGGGAGGTCTTTAAGTAACCCACTTGGTGGAAAAGGCCACAAAGCACAGTTCAGAGCACAATTAGAGCTGCCAGCTATCTGTCATGACAGTTTGAGGAACACACAGCAATACTCTCTGCCTGGGTAGACACCTGCTGGGTTTTTGGTAGCTGCCCTGGCTGCACCACAAGCCACAGGCATCATTGGCCAGCACCTGCCTGTCTAGCTGACAGCTGCTGTGGTGCTCTTCCAGTCGCCCCTCAGTGAGCTCTTGCACGTCTTCACCCTGGCCCTCCAGCCTGAGAGCAGCATGGGACAGGAGGGCGTCATCATGACCAACGACGACGCCAGCGCCTGCAAGCGCAGTGCCGTCGCGCAGGGCTACTGGGACGACCCGTTCATCCCCTACTTCGTGAGGAGCTTCGAGCGGAAGGCGCCTGAGATACACCGCGGCTACTACGCGCGCACACAGGCCGTGCAGCGCCTGACGGAGGCGTTCCTGGCGCGCTGTGGCGATCAGTCACAGGTGCTATCGCTGGGCGCTGGCTTCGACACGCTCTACTGGCGGCTGAAGAGCGCCGGCGTCCGCTTCAGCAACTACGTGGAGCTCGACTTCCCGATGGTGACGACCCGCAAACTGATGTACATACAGCGCCAGAAGGGTCTGTTGTCGGCCTTCCAGAGCGAGGGTGGGTGTAGCTCATGGCTGTTCTGAGCGAGTATGCTTTTGAGTCTGAGTGTGAGTGTTCCATGATTTGTGACTGTACTTCGCATGAGTGTGTGTGGGTGCGCGTGTTTGGGTATGTGTGCGGACGCATGTTCTTTTGCACTGGCGATTGACTTGGGGAACATTACTTGCCTTTTGCTCTCTTAAATATATGGTCGTTTGGTACATAGAAAGGCTGCGGCACGTGATCTGGCTACGCCGAGCTGGCCAGCGAAATGTCGCTGTCAGTTGACTTGCCATGCATGGGTTCTCACACCAACCACACATGCCTTGCGCTGCGCCTCTCACTCGCCGGTGAATTGTCGAGATGTGGTGTGATCCCATCAGCAGGTGCCTAACGCTTGCCGAGACTGTAACGTCGTACCCAGCGTGGTGCTAAGACACTGGCCACGGTGGGCGCGCGTGGTCGGCGGGAGCGTTTGTGGCCGCCGTGCGTGCCCCAACATCGCGCCCCGCTTCCTCCGCAGATGGCGAGGTGCGCATCAGCCGGAGCGGCCTGCACGCGGACGACTACCACCTGATGCCGGTGGACCTGGCGCGGTTGGCCGACGTGCGGGACGTACTGTCGCAATGCGCGCTGCGGCCCGACCGGCCGACCGTCGTGCTTGCCGAGTGCGTGCTGGTCTACCTGGAGCCGACAGCCGCCCGCCAGCTGCTCGCCCACCTGGCCGCCACACTCGCCACAGCGCTGTTCGTCAACTACGAGATGGTGAGTGGAGCGGGGCCGCGGCTGGACCGGGCGCGGAGCCCGCGCTCCGGCGGGCCCGCTGCCGGCGCTCCGGCGGGCCCGCTGCCGGCGCTCCGGCAGGACAGCTGCCGACGCTCCGGCGGGCCCGCTGCCGGCGCTCCGGCAGGACCGCTGCCGGCGCTCCGGTGGGCCCGCTGCCTGCGCTCTGGCGGGACCGCTGCCGGCGCTCCGGTGGGCCCGCTGCCTGCGCTCTGGCGGGACCGCTGCCGGCGCTCCGGCGGGACCGCTGCCGACGCTCCGGCGGGCTCGCTGCCGGCGCTCCTGTGGCCCGGTGGGACCGCTGCCGACGCTCCGGCGGGACCGCTGCCAGTGGGACTGAACGTTTGGTGCTCGGCGTCGATGGCGGCCGCCGGTTAGCTGATCTGTCCGGTGATATGCGGGCGAAACTTGCCCAGTCGGACTGTCGGAGCACGATGTTACATTCGATGGCGCTAGGTTTTTTTTGGCTGGTCATTGAGATGTGCACACGAGTTGCGTGAAGATACGTGGTGAGTCTGTCGCCGCAGCTGCTGGAGAGTGCCGTCTGAGTGGCGATGGGTGGTAAGGTCCGAGTGACTCATCGCCTGTCGCCACGGCTGCCGAGGCGCGGCGCGGCATGTGCTGACCAACCTGCGCTGCCCCTGAGCTAACTCCTGAGCCGTCGGCCAGGTGGGCGTCGACGATCGGTTCGGCCAGATCCTGGTGAAAAACGTGCGTGGACGGGGCTGCGACCTGGCCGGCATCGACGCCTGCAACTCGGACGACACCCAGATCCAGAGGTGAGCGCCGGGCGGGTGGAGCGGACCCGGCAGCGCCGACCCGCCACTCGGCCGGTGGGAAACGGCCGGCGGACGGCGCCTGGCCGGCCACGATCTGTATACGCAGGGGTGAGAAACAGGACTGTACCAAGCAGAAATTGGTTAGGAGATGAAGTACGTTAGAGCCCGGTCCCCACCAGTCACTTCGATGTTTGGGATTGAAGAAAGGTAATATGGGGTGACTAACACTGTAGTCACTGTATACTTTGACTCCGGCAGTTTTCGCTCACAAGGCTGTTCCTTGTAGATAAGATTCTGGGTGAGGGGTCAGTGGCCCAATTTGGCCAGCGACGGGCCATCGAGACTCTGTTCCCTGCCGTGTCCTAGGTGAATGTGTGGAATTTGTGCGCATGCGCTTGTTTGGGCGTGGGGTACAAACAGCCGGTGACATTTGCACTAGCAATGGTCATATAACCCTGGATATACCGGTAGCATATACGTACGATGCCGTGTCGGAAGTTTGCGCGTACGCGGCCGGCCGCGGCTGACCCGGCGGCTGTGCGCCCCACCAGATTCACCGACACGGGCTGGGACGGCGCACGTGTCTGGCGCATGGACGACGTGCTCCGGCTGCTGCCGGCCGCCGACGTGGCCCGCATGGAGCGACTCGAGCTGCTGGACGAGCTGGACGTGCTACTGCAGCTGCTGCAGCACTACGGCATCGTGGTGGCTTGGCGCGACGCGGCTGACCACGACCTCGGTCAACTCGACTTCACTTGAGACCGGCTGTTTGTTCACAATTGTTTATCTGGGATAGCTGCTTTTGCCATGGCAGGTAGTGGCCTCAAGACAGGTCAGACACCTTGGGTTTGCGGGTATTTGTGAGTAAACTGGCTTCCTGTGACGTCACGTCACCTGAGGAAATACTTCGCCGGCAAACCAAAACTGGCCTTTGGACGCCTCCAGCCGCCCTTGGTGAGTAGCGCCACCAAGAGCGTTGCCGCGGAGGTCGTTAGAGACCACGGGTGGTAGCACTATTGGCTAGTGCAGCTGGCGGCTGGAATGTGACGTCAGAGGTGGACTGTCATTGGCGGCTGGTGCTGTGTGGCCTGACTGCCGCTGTGAAGTGTCGGAATGTTGGGATCGCGCGTGCTGCGCCCGGCCTGTTGTGATATTTCTTCGTTACGGTTGTGTCTACTTAATTGCCGTCGTCTCCGGTATCAGATCAATGCAGCAGCCTTCCATCAAAATACTGAGGTGTCCATAACGACCAAGTGTAAAGTCGTCCCGGCGTCTGTGTTGCCGTGCTGGCGCGGGAGGCGCTTCAGCGTGCTGGCCACGCCGTGGGTCGCGCACCTCCGCCGACGCGGGCAGTGGGCTCCAGGGGCGACCGCCAGTATCCCAACGAGCGCAGGGGAAGTCGCCGGCTGACGTGGAGACTGGACCGCAGAGGACGGGGAGGGGATGGTGAGCCGCCGACTGGTGTGGAGACAGGACGAACTGAGGGTCGCGACGTGTGCAGCGTCCCGTGGAAGACACCTGGAGTCACGAGGCCGAACAAGGAACCCACGCGGACGGTCGGCGCCCTCGCGCTGTCTCGTCCTCTTCGCGAGGGTCTTCCCAGCCAGCAATTCTGATCGGGACCCAAGCGGGCTGAGCTTATGCTGTGTCAAAGCTGGGTTTTGGGCACAGCCCAGGGAAAGCTTGGATTTTGACTGGCCTTTGGATGAGAAACGTAAATCAAAACCGGATCCAAGTCCGAGCGGCGCCCGCCCAGGAGAATCCGCTCAAAACCCGCACATGTGAGAGGCAACTCGGCCGGTTGTCCGTGCCACAATAGCCATGTATATGTCAGGTCACCATAGCAGGGACGTGGCCAAGGGGGTGCCAGGGGCCATGGCCACTTGCTGAGACGAGTTCTGAAGAGCTTCCTGAAGAGGTTTGCACTGGATATTGAGCAGTTCCATACGTGGGCAGTTGGGTCTGAACAAATTCGGTGTTTGGCTCGCCTGAAAGAGATTCTGGCCACGTGCCTGCACCATGGCAATACCCACGGGGATCGCCGGCGCCGGATCTTAAAACCAAATTGAGGAAACGGCCGTCATTGGCTTCCCTGGTGATCCCTGCCTTATCTTCCTATCTTCTATCAGTATCTTATCAATTTACTTGCTTACACCGCTGTCACGCTATTTTCTATTCTGTAAAACCGCTCGAGAGGTAAGGGAAGACCAGATCTCAACCCAATGGCCGCTACCGTCATTAGGTTGGGTTATGGCCATTCGTATACCACTACAGTCAATACAATACAAAAGATTCCGTTGTTTTGTCGAATGGCACCTGCGCGTTACAAATTTACGTATTCACTGGCGTATGTATAACACAGCGACCAACCATTATTTGCTTGACGCATGCCTCGTGTTACAAATGCGAGCAACCTTGCTGATCCGTTTTATAGAAAACATTACTATTATACCTATGTTTTAGAGAGCGTCCCGCCGCTCGCCTGGTCCCTGCGTTATTCCTCTCACATCTCTCAGAACGATGCACCAGCCGTCGATGCACGGCACGGACCTGCCGCTGTTCAGACTAGCATATCGTCGCTGCAGTCCGCCGCTGCGCCGACCGCACCATGCGCCCTACCGAGCGCACGGCGCAGTGGGTAGGGCGCACCAGTCGCACTGAACGTGATCGATAAGCAAATCAGAAAACCGTTACATTGTGCTGAAGCACTGGCGTAGCTGCGTTTAACTGGGCTCGGCCCATGTTCCTCCACCGGTCCTAACGCGCGCTGATCCACATCGAGCATGTCTGTATGTAATTGGGCCAAGCCTAGGATGGGGGTTTACCCACCAAAATGAGGGCTGCGCCCTGCCAGGCACATGTGAGCAGGGTTGGCCCAGTAGAAGTTGTGGCTCTGCCCAACAAAATGCGGATGGCGCCCATGCCGGTTTTTGACAAAATGACCTTTGCCTTACGGAACCCTGCGTCTTCAATACTCGTTTAAAACACATAAGACTAGATACTAATTGTCCAAACTAAGTAAGGAACACGGCTGTGTATGATTTATGCCACAATGTTGCATATTTCGTATATATTGGCATATTAAGCTGAAATAGCCCATAACTTTCACCAGGCATATAGGAGTCAACTCTGACCCACACAGCACAAAACATTTGACCAATCGAGAGATCTTGCGGAAGCCAAACCACTGTATTTTTTTCTGCGAGGCCCTATCATTTTTAGTTTGAGAATGGCAGGGGCTCGCACCAAATCCACTCCCAAACTCCACGACCCGTTCGCGTTATAAAACCCAACAATCAACGCGAGAGTTAGAGCAGCCTACAGAGCAAAATTGAAGGACACCTGAAGAGTTTGTGAAAACTTATCCTTTTGAATTTAGGCCCCCAAGATCCTCTGCTGGCCCTTTCCAGATCCCCTCTGAACGAATGTGCTGGATCGACTTCATAATCACGAGTTACCACCGTCTGGACAAACGTCGAGCACTGCAGTTGCATCCAATTGAGAGTTAAAGGGATGTTCCACATTTGTATGGGGTTTTGAGCTGAAATAGCCATGTTGAAGGTCATTCGGTGCGGTTCACAGCTCCGCTCTACGGAAGACCTAAACCATTCTAGTTTCGGAGCCACACGCCCGCGAAGATGTGCAGGCTACCTCAGGGTAGACTTCTTCAGGTCACGCAGGCAGCCATGACGCCAAAATAACGTCATTTAAATCCTGCCATTCCATTGGCCTTGCGGTGATCAAGGCAAAGCAAAATATTTGTCGAGTCGTTCATATCCGCCGTTCGTGAGCACGGCTTCCAGGTATAGCGGACGTAAGTTGGCTCCTGATCAATGTTGTGTAAGGTACCATGACGCAATCAAACAATGACGCATTGAGGAGCATATTGACTGATCAAAGAAATCGTGTTGTCTAGAGCAGTTTTTTCCACTTAAAAGTATGCCGGTGATTATTCGTGAGCTTATTTCATCATGTCTCATGTTTGCTTCAGTATCTTGAAATGTCGAAATTCCCGTCAATGCTATCAGCCACTAAACATTTTCAGCCCAAGGGTCCATAGACTGTAGACCATGACCAAACCTGACCATAGATCACGACCATAGACCTTGAACATAATTGTTCTAACCCGCCCATTGCGGGCCTACGGGCTAAAAAGTGTGACCTCTACTGGTATGAATGGCTTCAGTACCAACTAACCTTTGTGATCGATATAGCGTGCGGCTATTTGACCGTGAATCGCATGGGTTGAAGTTTGGACCAGTGCGTCGCTATAGACCGTGTGGTATGTCTGTCTCCCAAAGTCAAAGTGTGCTTCGAAGACAGCCATTGTACTAGCGTCATGGGGAGAACTCAAAGGCACAGTGCAATGTTTCGTTGAATTTGCATGATAATTATCTCGTTTTTGTAGTTTCAAGCTTTCGCATAATTTATGGCACAGCGTCCTGACCAACTAGTATTTTGCAATTTTAGAGGACTTACACGGTGGAAAAGGCAAAGCAAGGGAAGAGTATTACTTTCAAAATGATAAGCAGGGGGTCCAAGAGATTTCTCCCGCCGGAACGGCCACTTCAGATCGAAATTCTGAACTTTTCAGAAGGGTTTCAAGAAAACTGGTATTTCGATCAAATCGGACGCACCGCAAGTGGAAAGTGCGAAAAGGAGGAATCTCCCCTTCAACTTATTCAATACCCCAGTCAACAATGCCGTTTTCATCTTTTCCATTTGCTATCAGCGACAAAGGTGAAGGCCCAAGGCAGACGCGTGAATCATATGTAGTATTAAAGGCAGCACCAATATCAAACTGAAACAAAACTGATCATGTTGATAGTGACGAATGACGATACGTTCGCGAAATTATTGTTTATCAGCCGTTCCGTTCTTGACAGTACTGTTTTCTTATTATGCCATCAAAGATACGGTATGTTGAGAGCCACACCGGTACTGGCTGATGAGCACCACACTCTGTTGCTCCCACGGACTCACATCACATACTTCTCGTCCCTGTGTCATTCGTTTTTCTCCTCCCTCCCCTCTTTCGCCCTGTACGTAGTGCGGCTGCGCTTCCATTTTACCTGTTCCTTCATGCTTGTCCAAATCGATAGCCAAACGGAAACCGCGTATCATATGCAGTACCTATGGGAGTGCATACGGTGAGGCTAAGTTTATTTCAAACGCGTACAATGGGAACTACTAAATGCCTGTTGTGCCAATATGACCTGGATGCGCGCGCTTGTGCCTAATGTGCCATCATGCGCTAAATATATTGCATTTCAAACTGTACTAAACGCCCAACGAGACCTTTTTCATATTGAAGAGTCTCTTCATGGTTAATGGGTGCATTTAAACCACGCTGAGTGTGTCAGCTGGTCCAATGTCGTTGCCGTGTCAGGACCGGAGTGGTGTGGGTCCCATGCCGACGTCCACTGGGCTGAGAGCCGGGAACTCGACCACCGAACCGAGGGCAGCCGTGACTGTGACGTCGCGCTCGCAGGGTGTGGGCAGGGAGGCATGGTTCAGCGCGTGCCCCCGAGCCCTGACCACGTTGGAGGTTCACGCTGCAACAGCTGTTGCGGCGGTGATTTTGGTGCAAAATCATGCAACCAGTCCGGGTGTTATATATTCTGCACTCTCCTCTCATAAATAAATATTGCTGTTTGGAGGACAGGGGAACCACGACATCGGCTTGAATACAGAAGGAACTGTTAACTGTAAGAAACTGTAAACTGAGTCAAAGAGGCACATCTAGTACCTCGGCTTGTAGGCCGGAGCAGGAGCATAAGAGCGAGCAGACTTGTAGGCCGGAGCCGGAGCATAAGAGCCGGCGGGCTTGCCGTAATGGGGCTCACCACTGTAGGTCACCTCGGCGTTGTAACCTCCGTAGCCGTCGTGGTCAGCGACGTACTTGACGTGCTGGGTACGGCCGTCGGGCAGGTTGACCGAGTAGTAGCCGTTGACATTCTTGGCGTCGCTGTTCTCGCTCTGAGAGAAGACGCTACCCGAATAGTGGTCGTTGACGGCGTACTCGAACTGATAGGGTGTGTGGTAGTGGTCCGGCTCCTTGTAGGACGACTGGTGGTAGCTCGGGCCATTAGAGTACGCCGGCTTCGGGGCGTAGCTGTTGGCGGGAGCGGCGGCGGCAACGGCCAGGAGAGCGGCGGCGATGAACACCTGCCAGCCGAACATGCGGCTCTGTGATTCTTCGAGTTTCACGCCGTGGTCAATACAGGGTTCTTTGACGAAATGCATGCTCTAGCTTGGCCAGTGATTTGAAATAAGAGTCGATGATTATTTGAATGGTGTTCACTTATGGATGCCAAATATGTGAATATGAACGTACACTGCGAGCTCACATGTAGTCCACATCCGCGACATGTCGACTTTCTCAGCTGGACCGCAGCGAGAGCGGACGATGCTACTGAGAACGGCGAACACTCACCTTCATGACTGTGGTCTGGCGAGTTCTAGCCTGTTGACTGGTGCTTGGGCAGGCTCCGTGCCCCGGTTTTATCCTGGCCCGCCCGCACGCTCGCGTGACCTTGACATTGGGCAGTGGGTGCGGCAGGTGACCGGCGGCAGCCCCCGACACGCTGCGGGTGCCACCGCCACACCAAAGTCGCCCACCGTGTCTGATGGTCATTGTGCCGCTGTTAACCTCGTTACGCAAGCGTCGCGGGCATATTTTAGCAGACCTTTTCTGGCGAGACAAACGTGCGCTTCGCGAGTCGAACACGTCCCACACGCAGACCCCGCCTGATTAGCAGTTGATTACAAAATGGCGGGGTCGGTTTCCGGGAAACATGTGGCGTGCTTTTGTTCGTCTACAGGATGTTTGGAAACGCGTGATTTCCTAGCCAAGTGGCCTTTGCTGATGACGACAGCTTTGGTCTGATCCCGAATCTCGGCCCAATTGGAGTGTGAAGTGGTGGGATTTTGAGGCAGGCTGCCGTCAGCTCCCCTCGCCGGGCGTATGCTGCGCCTAGTCTCCCTCCCGTTCTGAAACACAAAATGCACCTGAGCAATCTGAGAAAAGATGTTGCATGTGCTGTGCACCACACGATGGATAATATGATTAGCCACAATTAATTTAACCACTTAAATGATTCATAAATCTGAATTATTTCCTGCAAGTAGCGGACACCAGAACTGCCTTGTTCCTATTTTTAAAATGACAGCTTACATTTTAACGGTAGCAGGTAGAGACAAGCCAACGCGATTGACATTGGCTTTGGGTCAAAATCGAGACCCACCATCATACTGCCACCTATCTCCGATTGGCGACTGAAAAACAGCTGCGGTCACCGCACGTACACATTTGACGCTAGAAACTGGAATGCAGCACGAATGAATGTCTTGTATAAGGGTGTCTTTGGCCACCAATCTTCGAGTCTCTAGGTCATGGCCTTGTGACTCGGAGGACTGCAAATCAAGCGTGTTTCACACGCACGCAAGTCACATATTGGCGCTGATCGCCGTGATCCTGGTGAATGTCGGCAGTCTTCATGCCAGGAAAGATATTCGTTAAGTTTGGAGTCTGTAGCTGCTGAGGTACGCCATTTGAGGGCCCCTGCTGTGAAGCGATGCAGGTCAGCGCCAGCGGCCGGTACACCATAGATGGGAGCTATCGCTATCCAAAAAACAACCGTTCATTGACCGACGTGCGTGTCACGATCTTGTCATCCTGATTGACGATTGTTGCCATTCTGTCAATGCAGGTGGACGCCACTGGCAAAGGGGTGCCAATGGAGGGTACCGGTGGTGTAGTGGTTGAGCTGCGCGTGTGGGCAATCAGAAGTGCGGGGCTCGGCTCGCCGCGGTGCCCGCGCTTCCTGCCAGAGTGAGAGGCAGGCGACGCCATATAGCCTCAACAGCTGGCTGCGTCGTGAAGCCTCAGTGGTGATAGGCTGCCAATCTTTGGTCATGACCCACGTGTGACGCACAGTCACTTATCGGCCGGATTCGATCGGAACCGATCCCCCAATATGCTACCTTCAAGCGCGTCGCCGCACCAGACAGTCCTGTCTGAGTAGCTCCAAGGGCTACAAGAAAAAGGAGCGCAATAGTTGAGCACGCGCACTGCGCGAGAATCTTGGCAGGAAACGCCTTAGGCTGGGTATCATTGGAGAGACCTGGCGGCCGGCCAGCCAGCTCGCTGTTGGTAGAGGACCCGAGTTCAGGATTTTGTGCGCGCGTGCAGACCACCTCCTTGCACTGATCTCTTAGTCTCAGTGTATGAAGACAGTCTTTGTGTCAAAGCAGATATTCGTAAAGTGCTGAGCATGTAACTTCTTGAGCTGCCATTCAAGACATCTCCACACCAAAAGGGTGCAAATCAGCATGAGCGTCCACTACAGCGTCTGTTGAAGCCTTGGATCTCAAAACAGCTGTCCATCGACTGGCATGGATGTCAGGCCGGCTATCTCGGCTGAAGTTGGTCCTGCTGAACCTTTCTGACCTGGGCGTCGACGGCGATGACGTCCTCTATCTGTTCCTGGCGAGCCGCTTGGCCGTGCCGGCCGTCGACTCGCCCGAGTTCGACATGCACCGGCTGTTCGTCGGCCTGTGGACCAGCTTCGCACGCACGGGCCGGCCGGTCGACGACTCTCCAAAGTTGCCAGATTGGCCGGCGTTCACGGAGCGCACCCAGCGGCACCTGCAGCTTAACATATAACCCACCGTGGCGGCGCGCTTCCTAGAGGGGCGCGACTTCTGGCAGAGCGTGCCCATGAACGAGCTGTGGAGGCACCCTGTATATCAGGGATGGCGCTAGAGGTGGGGCGGTGGCCGTATGGATGCCAAATGAGCCGGGCATTGGTCGGATGGTAACGTCCCAAATTGGCGGGACGTTAGTCGGTTTGGAGCCAAATGGGCACGGCGTTCGTCGGATGGGTGCTGAATGGGTCGCACGGTAGTCGGATGAGTGCTAGGTGGGCCAGATGTTGGTCTGATGGTGCCAACTGGAAGCACGTTGGTCGGGCGACCACCAACCCGCCGCACTTTACATGTACCTCATAGAGGTATGCTGAGTCCTGCATGCTGATGTTCGTGCCGTCCTCTTTGAATACAATTAAATTGTTCTTAAAGTACACAAAATGCTGGTTACTTTTTGTGCAAGCAATGGCATGTTAAATTGCAAAGGTTATTGTCAACAGCGTTGACGTCAAAAACGAATGAAAGCTTGATGTCTAGCAACGTTTGCTCGTGCTAACAGGAAGCGGACACACCATATTGATCACCCATTTGTAAAAATCAACCGCAACCTTGCGGCAGCAAACAGATGTAGGCTTATTTTGGGCAACAATAGTTCCATCGCGCCTTATTAGTGTCTTGTATTGCCGTCTATGGCTTATTGTTGTCCGTATAGGTCTCACATTCGCTCTTAACACTAAGAAATTGAATTCTGTTTTACGCTCAACTCCATTATTTGCAAGCCTATGGCTCTTACGGTTAGAGGTGACGCTCATCAGCTAGTAGGCACTTAGACGCCTCAGAAAATCACCTAAGACCTCCGCGTTAAAACCGATGTTTTATTCTTGTGACCAGCGAACACAGGCTTGGTGACCAACAGGGCAACACGCAGTTCCGCTGACCACTTACAAAAAACTTGCGTGCTCTCGTTGCAGTTCCGCTGACCACTCACAAAAAAACTTGCGTGCTCTCGTTGAAGCGTAACTTTCATACTCAAAGCGAGCACTGCCGAATGACGTTTGATTTTTCACAGTTAATTAACACTCAACAGGGCACTCGCAAGCACTTACACACATCAGTATACTCTGGACTATGATGTAATCGCCCCCAGGATCAACAGGCCGCAGCGGCGGCCAGCTGCGTGTAATAATGTTGATACTCGTCAAGGCATCCTGTTGGAGACAGTACATACTTCAGAGCAGCAACGTACGTGCCGGCAAAACAACAGAACACATTTCCACATCGTCATGCTCAAGGCTACTAGAGATGCCTGCATGACAATCTTTACTACGTTAGGCTGCACTCCTCAGAACATGATCATGTCACCATCACAAAACGCTCGCCATTTTTCCATGAACCGCTGTTTATTCCACTCGCTTCCGTAAATTTGTATTCATTCGGCTTGAAGGAATTGTTCTACGTGCACCCGAAATGCTCGAAAGAAAAGCTATATTCTTCTCTTTGTTGTATGTGGATATATTTGTAAGCAAGCAGCATCACAAGATTTACAGCACATGGGAAGTTCTGACCACCAAATAGCACAGCGCTCGCGTCGAGAATGATTCGGATGAGTCTAACGTACCGGTTTACAGTAGCTGATGTCTTAGTCCAAAAGGCACGTACGGACTCATAGTTGAAAAATAGTGCACTGACGTATTATTTACCACCTCCCTCCTAGTGCGTGCATATTAGTGATTCTATAACGTGCCTTGCGTGCAAGAATCGTTCAGCGGGTGCACACCAATGAAATCTTTGAAATTGAAGTTACTGTAGCTGGGTAGAGGCACAAAACTGGTAAGCGATTTCGAGGCATTTTATCCCTGCCGAATAGTGCTTGCTTACGGAGTTCCATCACATCCCCTCAAACTATGGCAGGTGATGTTCTTGAGCCAGCGAAAATGCATTCAGTTGTTCACAAGTGAGAACTGTCTACAAACAAACCACATCTGGAACGAATATCGACCAGCATACGAATATAAAAATATGTGCAAAGAATCCCAGCAATTACATGAAAAACGCCATAGAAGTGGTGAATATATAATGGAAATATGCGAACAACAGCTGATCAGTGCAGGCTTGAAAACGTGCCAAAATCGATGGCAACCAGATGACAGTCGCCGGCTTCCGGGATTGCCGGCAAGGCACAGGCTTGCTTGGTTGTCGGGCGGCCTGGATGCCGGCATCTAATCCCACATCGACTGGGCATTCCCTTTCTTCAGGGAAATAAGTGGAGACTCTCAATCCTGATGCCATCTGTTGCCACATGACCTGCACCGTGCAGCATAGTCTCCGACCCTGGCGCTCCTCGGCGTCGGCGATGTCAGATGCTGCTGGCTATCCCACGAATACCATGGAGCTGGAGCCCTTTGTTCTTGTCCCGACAACTGCTAAGTACAAGGTTTTCGACAGTGTCCTGCATCCCAGGCTTGTTTCCCAGTGCTCAGGTAATACGGAATCCAGTTTCGAACCACGAAATATGATTTGTCTGTGAAATTGAATTTCTTTTTAATTTTGTTTTTGTTATTATTATCTCACATACCTAAAAATGTTTCGAAGCAGAGGTAAACGACTTATTCAAACCCTGAAAGTGCTTTGGCGACATACGGCATACGTGACAACATGTGCCAGCAGCAATTTGTGTATCGTTATTTTCACCCAAATAAACACGCCACAATATGCATGTTTATAGGTTGGAATATCTTGAAAATACTTGCGATGCAATGCACGAAACAAAAATACGTGAAATGGAGCCAAGATGAAAATTTTTGATTAATCATTGGAGCGTTCGGACGCGTCGACTGCTGCTGT